CCCCTCCCCCCCCCCCCCCTGGCCGCATGGAAAGCAAAAGCATTCATTTCCTGCCTACCTATGCTGATTCGTGGGAGAGAGCATTCCCCCCGCCTTACCCCCGCGGCATATATCTGAAAAACTTTCATTTCCTGTCTACTTCTCGCACCCAAAAGCTCTCAGTCCACCCTCAATGCATATAGAACAAGGTCACTGCAGAATCTTGTTTGGTGACAAGTACAGATTGTTATTTTGTGCTGCTTTTTTCTTGTTTTTTTTTTCTTAAACACACACACGCAGGCCCTTCTATTCGTGGCGGGCGCCAGTCCGGTTGCTTATCCCCGGCAAGCATAATATGTCTTTCAAGGAATATCCCCGTGGGGGGGACGAGAGATGTCGAGTGCGGCTATCCCGGGAGACTCCCCTTGGTACCTTGTGCTTCTTTTTCCAATACCGAATTGCTTGTAACTCTTTTTTTTTTTGTTTGCGTTTCTGAAATTGTTGAAGAACGGTTTTGTACTACACACTTATCTAATTTCTCCTCTTGCCAATTCCGTCCGGGGAAAGCCCGCACGGAGATTGCTACAGTCTTTCCCCGAATACAACGCACGGTCATTATAGCCGTATTTGAGGCATCTTTCAGTCTAGATACAGCTATAATGACCGTACGTTGTATTCGGGGGAAGACTGTAGTAATGGTGCTAGTAATGGTGTATATAACGAGGAGCTCTCTAAAGGTGATTGACGTGTCTGGACCTCAGGTGGAGTAACGGTGGAGTAACGGTAGGGGCACTTTGTTGGTTTGCATGGCTGTCATGAATTGCCAGATCGAAGTGAAGACCTGTTGAGCAGGGGGGATACGATGGAGGTGATGAACAAACAGTTGAAGGGTGTGGAATATAAAATCTGCTGTGAACTGGAGCTGGAGGAGGGAAGCTGTACAAATTAAAAGAAGGGCGAGAAGAAGGGATGGGGAAAAGTGAGGAGAAGATTGCATCCTCCTGCAGAGAGGATGGGCACATAGAAGCAAGGTTTGCTTCTCCTCCTTCTGCCTTCCATCATTCTGTTCCATCCCTCCCCCCCCCCCCCCCCCCCCCCCCCCCCCCCCCCCCCCCCCCCCCCCCCCCCCCCCCATGACCACCCCCCCCCGTCCACCTCCATCTCATCTTCCTTTCATTCCTCCCTNCCCCCCCACGCCAACCACTATGACCACCCATTGCCGTCCACCTCCATCTCATCTTCCTTTCATTCCTCCCTAAACCACTTGTTCGCTCTTCGTTGGATTGCAGTTTTCCATCTTATCCCCTCCTCCTGTCTTCTTTCCCTTCTCCTTCTTACTTCTTCATGCCGAGGCCATCTGCTGCTTTCTCTTCGATCATGGAAATAGGCAACCACCATCTCTGTCTGTGTAAGTGTTATGCGTGCTGATGAACACAACTCCACAGAAAAAGGCAGGTGTGTGTGTGTGTGTGTGTGTGTGTGTGTGTGTGTGTGTGTGTGTGTGTGTGTGTGTGTGTGTGTGTGCGCGGAACACTAACCTCCACAGAAGAAGGGTAGCAGTGACGGACTGTTTTGTCGTACGTTAGACGACTCATTAGGAGGTTTGTGTGTGTGTGGTAGAGGAAATTGACTGTTGTTGTGGTATGTGAGTGGAATAATTATAGCACAAAAGTGGTTGTGCCTGCCTTGTGGCTGTCTGTGGTACGCACCCGTAACTGTTGTTTACCGCATAGAATAATGTCGGTGGATGGATGCTTCGGGGAAAAAAAGGAGGAAGAGCTAATATGAAATTGGGTTTGGGTATCGGGTTAGGCTTTAATGGATCAATGAGCTGTTCGAAATTCATAGCCTGTTTCTCAATTTGGATGTGGGTTAGTCATTTGCTTAGCTAATTTAATGGATGTGTGGGTTTGTGCCGTTTTTGCCGGTTATTACCCTGACGGAGTGTTGTCACCAGGTATGAACTGGATCAATGAGCACACAGATATGAGCAGTGGGTTGTTTGTTATTAAACAAAGAAAGAAAAAACATGGACATGTGCGATGCGCGCTATTAGTGTCACTTGCTATCATATTGGCACGACCCGATAGAGAACTGTCCCTTCATGTAGCATATGAAGATGGAAAGCCTATACTAATGATGCTTTGCGCTTTTGGCCTAGAATGTCTTACTATGGTCTATCAGTTTAACTCTTGACTCAATTTATTATTGTGGTGAATTATTATATCAAGAAGATTTGAGTATTCGAGAACACTTCTGTTCAATTTAACCGCCTATGGGTGCGCAAGTGTTTGGTTTTTGTCCTGGCACGGAGTGTTACGATCAGGAAGAAACCATTTGAGCAACAGATCATAGTGCTCCTAATAAAACACATTTGGAATTACTAGACCAACCTGCCGTTATAATACCATTGTTACGATCCTGGCCAATTTCGAAGTACACATTCATCAGAAAGTACGGTGCTGTCTAATTTCAAAAAGAAATGAATGAGCTTGAGAGGAGAGAGAGGGAAAAAAACAGAAGAAGAAGAAAGAAAGAAGAAGAAGATGATGTACACCAGCATAGACCAATGATAATGCTCTTCTTCTTCGCCAACCACTCTCCTCCTCCTTATCTCCTCCCCTCTTATTCAAATCAGAAATAACAATAGCAATGTTGAATGGCTGAACCAGAATCAATGTCCGAATCCCTCTTCTACTGCAGGCACAACATGATGTCCACCATAGCCAGGACCATCCTTCCTCTTCCTCTTCATGTAGGCCGAGGCTATGGTGGACTACTGAGGGCTCTGCCCTCCTGTCCAAAGGACATCCCAAAGCAGCTATGTCGCTGCTCATTAAGCCGCCGTGCCTGACTCTGTCCCGAGCTTCCTTGGTGCGGCACTACCCGAACTGGGGCCTTCCAGATGCAGCGCCTATCAAGGTGATGAAGATGGTGTCCACCATAGCCAGGTAGGTACCTTGCCACTCTCCTCCTCAGTCCTCTTCTCCCTCCTCCTACCGGTAGAGCTCCACCACAGCCGAGGTGAGAGCTCCTGGCCCTCTTCCTCCCAGCAGCGCTGTAGTACCCAGCGCTCCTTCAGCCAGCGCTCCAGCAGTGTGTTGCCATACTTGCACACCGAAGAAGGAGGCTGGGCTCTTGGCTCAGCCTCAAGATATAGCGGCCTACTTGCCTCCTGGGCGGTGACTTCCAGGCCGCTCGGCCTCCCAAGCAACCGGTACCTCCTCCCTTTTGGAGGGAAACATCATTGCAGACTTTGATATTGCCCGTACAGGCCCTAGACTCAGACTGGATGGACTGGTACCCGCCTAGACCTAGCCTACTGCTACTGGGCCTCTAAAAATGCCAACTTTGTCTTCCTCTGCTCGGCCGCGAGTACCCGTACATCTACTTCTACTTGGTGCGCTACCGGCCTACCTGCTACTTGAGTGTTTTTTCGCTGCTCTAAGTGTTGTGGGCCCCTTGCTCCGCTACTAAGTGTTTTCCCTGCTGCAACCCAATGTCACAGCCACAGGTAAGTCTCGGCCCTACGGGCCTCCTGAACAAGCAAGTACCCTTGCGGGTCACACACACACTCATGCCGACAAGCACTCAGACAGGCATGCAGGTCACCAAGCACGCATACACAGACTTAGAAAACTCAGCAGAATGCGGGAATCTCAGCAAGGCATCCACTCCATCGGCAGAACTCAGAAATCAGCAGTGTTCTCAGTTTGTGTTATGGCGGGTCATTACACTACCCCCCCCTCAAGAGCGAGGTCCCTTCAAGCGAGTAACTCTCTCAGAGTCCCTGCATGACGAATCATAAGTGTACATGGCAAAGAGAGATCGGGTATGTTCCTTAGGAGTGAGGGTAGCGGTGAATTTAGGTTGCTGTTCAGAGACAATCAGACGTTCATATGCTTTGACGACTCGCGGGGCACTCTGCAGCAAGTGTTTCTTGGAAATCCAATAAAAATCATCTAATGGGTGATGCAGAAAATGAACTTTGTATTGTCCGTTTTTCCCTTTTCCACTGTGTTCGACAAGTCTATCAATCTCGTGACCGCCATTGATTGCATGAGGGATCATCGATTCTCGATACAGAAAAGTTTCAGGTAATGCATACGGAAACAACTTCGATGCGCGAAAGACTGGTTACATGAGCAAATGAGCAGGCACGTCAATCGTATAAGAAGGATCGAATGAATCATCCCCTACCTGGTTCAGCACCTTCCACGGAACGTAACACTGAGGAAAAAGCTTTCGTGATACACCTTTTTTAGACCCAGATGTAGCTTCCCACTGTGAAAGGTGCAGGCTGACGCTTCTTGTTGGCATGCTTAATCATGGCACTGCGTCACCTTTGCATAGCTGCAACAGCAACTTTGAGCAAGCGATCAAACTTAGCGCTGTAGCCTGGCTGGCCAGGTGTTAGGCCACGTGTCGGGTCAGGAAATAGATAGGATAGGGGATTGCGAACTTGCCATCTGAGGTGCAACCGATTAGGTGTCATTCCGGTGGAGGAGTGTAAGGAGTTGTTGTACAACCCTTGCACAATCGGCAAATCCTCATCCCAAGAGTTATGATCAGGCACAATTAGAGTTCGGAGAAGTTGGATCACAGTCTGGTTGATCTCCTCGGCCAATCCAGTGGCTTTGGGATGTTGACCAGATGTCATCTTGAGTTTGATGTCATAGATCTGAGAGGTAAACCCCTTCCAATCTGCACTTATGAGCCTAGTGTCCCAGTCACTCACAAGAGTCTTCAGGGAACCATATTGCAAAATGTATCTCATGTTAAATTCCTCGATCACAAGGTCAGTTGAGGCGTGAGGTGGCAATGGAATCAAATTCAGAAATTTTGAAAAGCGGTCAACGATCACCATTACTTGCGAGTATCCGTTCCTGCTCTTCTTTCCCATGTCCGTGAAGTCAATGGAGACAGACTCAGCGGGGCCATCATGTATAGGAAGAGGATGCAACAGCCCATAGGGCTTTTGCCGGGATGGTTTGATGCGTTGACACCTTTGACACTCAACCACAAACTTTCGATCCATTCCTTTCATCCCAGGCCATACAAACTTTTGGAACAGACTTTTGTATGTCTTTTCAAAATCGAAGTGTCCACTCCGGCTATGAGTCAAGTCCAAGAAGCGAGTACGAATAGCCTCATGGTTGGGTATACACAATCGGTTGTACTTTCTACAATGTCGGAAGAACAAACCTTCAAACTCGTGGAAATCAGGCTGTTAGGGTGAGTTTGGATCTGCTCAAGGATGGGACTGAGCTCCAGGTCCTTGGCAATATGCTCAACTAGTTCCTTCTTCAATTTCTTACGGAGATAGGAGCCGACAAGGCATGTCATGTACTCAGGGTGGCGAGACAAAGCATCCGCAATGAGATTGTAACAACCCTTCTTGTGTTCAAGTTCAAAATTATACGGATAAATCTCATGCAGCTAGCGCGTCAATGTAGTTGATGAATTAAGTCTTGTGGTCTAATAACATGTTGAAATGGAGACCCGAGAGGTAGTGTTTCCAATGATCTAATGCCTCTCTCAAGGCATAGAGTTCTGGTATGTTGGTGGAGGCAGCTACGTTGTGACCGGGCATGCATTTGCTGTAGTACTCAAGCAGACGTAGGCCGTCACCATCATCTTGCTGCAACACTGCGCCGATCTCGTACAAGCTCGCATCCGTAGTTACTACGAATGTAGGTTTGGGATCTGCAATGCGGAGCACCGGATGACTAACCAAGGTCTCCTTCAATGGTTGGAAGGCGGCTGTGCACTCCCCATCTCATGTGTAAGACACATTCTTGCTTGTCAATTTGGACAGTGGACTGGCGATGATAGAAAATTTGGGCACAAACTTACGGTAGTATGACGCAAGACCAAGAAAAAAACGCAACTCTCAGACATTTGCTGGTTGAGGCCATTTGCGGATGACCTCGACTTTGGTTGCCTCAGGCTCTAGGCCTGCAACGGACAACAAATGTCCAAGGTAGATGACGTTGTCCCTCCCAAACTCATATTTCTCTAAGTTGAGATG